ATCAGATTGCGAGCCCATTTTCCAGATTTTCCTCTTAAGACCATACGTTTAGATAATGCTGGTGAATTCACTTCCCAAGCATTTAATGACTATTGTATGGCCATGGGGGTAAGTGTGGAACATCCTGTGGCACATGTCCATACACAGAACGTATTAGCTGAATCCCTCATTAAACGAAATCAACTAATTGCTCGACCATTACTCATGAGGTCGCAGCTTCCGGTCTCAGCTTGGGGACATGCAGTTTTACACGCTGTTCAATTAATACGCATTTGGCCATTTAGTGAACATAGATATTCCCCATCCCAATTGCTAACGGGTCATGAGCCAGACGTTTCCCATCTAAAGACATTTGGGTGTGTCACCTATTTACCCATAGCACCACCACAGAGAGCATTTAATGACTATTGTATGGCCATGGGGGTAAGTGTGGAACATCCTGTGGCACATGTCCATACACAGAACGTATTAGCTGAATCCCTCATTAAACGAAATCAACTAATTGCTCGACCATTACTCATGAGGTCGCAGCTTCCGGTCTCAGCTTGGGGACATGCAGTTTTACACGCTGTTCAATTAATACGCATTTGGCCATTTAGTGAACATAGATATTCCCCATCCCAATTGCTAACGGGTCATGAGCCAGACGTTTCCCATCTAAAGACATTTGGGTGTGTCACCTATTTACCCATAGCACCACCACAGAGAGCAAATGATGGGACCTCAAAAGGGGATGGGAATATACGTTAAAAATGATTCTCCCACCATCATTAAGTATCTCGAGCCAAAGGCCACATACAAGGATTGTCATCACAATGAATCCGTTTTCCCAACACTGGGTGGAGAGACTAACAAGCTGGTCAAAGAACTTACATGGAATCAAACATCCTTCACATGGCAAGATCCTCGGACTCCATCAGAGATCCAAAAGACTATATATCTGCAAAAGCTAGCTAAAACAGTTGCCAAGATTCCTATAATGACCCAAAGAGAGTAACAAAATCATACATACCAGCTTGTAATGCACTAGTACGTATTGATGTTCACAAGGAACACATTCAAGTTGCTACAGAGGCTACAACACGTAAGAAACGTGGTAGACCCAAAAGGTTCCAAAGACAAGAACCCTCAAAAATCAAAGAAAGGTGCAAGGGAAACCGAGAAGGTTCAAGAAACCATAGACATGGCCGGCTAATAGACATAACCCTAAGGTACCAATCAATGAGGTTTGGGACGCCAAACCTCAAGGTCCTGAAGGTGTAAAGAGATCTCTATAAACTATATCATGTCTAGAATACAATGGAACCGAAAAGATGTCGACATAAATGATAATATATTTGCGCACAAGGTAGCAACTGAAATGAATGAGGATCAGGAGCCCACGTCTATACTAGAGTGCACTCAAAGACCTGATTGATTAAAATGGTACAAGACCATAAAACGTGGAGCTAAGAATCATTAAGAAGAAGAATGTGTTTGGTCCAATACAAAGGACACCATTCAATGTAAAGCCAGTGGGACAAATGAGTCTTTGTGATTGTGTGAAATAAACATAGTGAAAGCGTGATATATCAGACACGGCTTGTCGCACAAGGATTCACACAAAGACCAGAAATAGAGGAGATATACTCCCCTGTGGTGGATGCAAAGACATTTAAATTTTTGCTAAGTCTGGCTATATAAAAGAGAAAGATTTGCGGCTAATGGATGTAATGCCTGCATATTTATATAAGTCCACTGGATAATATATGAGATTATCAGAGGGTATTGAGCTCAAAGATAAGAAAGATTCTCGAGAACAGCACTGCATAAGGCTGGACAAATCCTTATATGGACTGAAACAAAGCGGACGTATGTGGTATAACCGGTTAAGCGAATATCTCATCAGAGAAGGCTATAAAAACGATCCGATCAGTCCATGTATTTTTATCAAGAAGTTTGCAAACAAAGGATTTGTAATCATAGCAGTGTATATGAATGATTTAAACCTCTGGATAATCGCCCAAACAGTTGAGTATATCTAAAGAAAGAATCTCAAATGAAAGACCTAGGCAATAATTAAGTTCTGTTTGGGATTACAACCTGAGTACGTGAATAATGGAATCCTTGTGCATCAAATGGCATACACTGAAAGAGTACTCAAGGAGATTTAATAAGGACCAGGCCCGCCCATTGACCAGGCCCAATGGTGGTGAGAAGCCTCAGATTGGATAGTGATCCATTCAGTCTGGAAATGCCATACCTCAGTGCCATAGAAGTTCTAATGAATTTGGCTAGACACACTAGACCAAACATTTGTTTTGCCGTGAGTATTCTGTCTAAATTTAGTTCATGATCAACCCAAAGGCACTGGAAAGGTTTAAAGGAAGGTTTTGATTAAATTTTAAAGTTTATTCTTCCTGCGTTGTTTACTTGGGTTTATTCTATACTGATCTAACCAAAGAAGGTCCAGTTTGCTTTGGTTTAGTTTGATTTGCTAATGCAGGATATTCATAAGATCAGATTATGGTATGGTCAATGAATAGGAACTATGTGTGGCTTGATCCCTTCCAAGGGTACGTAGGCAGCCTTCCTTAAGGCGCATCTACTACTACATCAAAGACCATCATATTTGAAGACAACGCATCCTGTATTGCTCAACTCAAGGATGGCTACACTAAGAGGGATCGAACGAAGCATATTCTGCCCAAGTTCTTCTTCACTCATGAATTACAGAAAGACGGTCAGGTCAAAGTTCAACAGATCCGGTCAAGTGAGAATTCAGCCGACCTATTCACCAAATCATTGCTGACTTCAACGTTCCGGAAGCTCATTCATCAGATCGGGATGCGCGGACTTAAGGATCTACAGTGATGCTCAAATCAGGGGGAGTAATGCGTGTTGTACTCTTTTTCCTTCACCATGGTTTTGTCCCACTGGGTTTTCCTGGTAAGGTTTTAATGAGGCAACATTCCCTAGCGCATTATAGAGATCCCGGTTTAGTATCGGGCACGGTTATGTCTTCCAAGGGGGAGTGTTATAAACCATATAGATGGACTCCATAACCGACCCATGGCCCATTAGGGTTTTACCTTATTCTCTGTATCCTGCTATTATCCTTGTATATATATCCCTTATTCTATTAATGAAAGACACAGTTCACAACAAACTTTTATTTATTTATTATAATTGTAATCAATATTATGTTTAAGCAGTGTTCAAGAAAGCGCTAGGCGCTAAGCGGGCGGTGATCCAATGCCTAGCTCCTAGAACGCCTAATCGGGCCTAGGCGATTTTTTAGGCGGTTTAGACGTTTATAATATAAAATATTATAAATATGATATTATATATAAAAGTTATATAAAATATCTATATAAAACAAAAAATTATGAAATTATAAACAAAAATTAGATAAAACATTTATTTATATTTATATTAAATAATATATGAATATTTATAACTATATATATAAATAAAACTCTAATTAAAATTGAAATAATACATTAAATAAGATCTGTGTAATTTTAGGCGGTCAAAGCGGTTATCTAGGCGTCGCATAAGAGCCTAGCGCCTAGTCGGGGCCTAGGCGACCGCCTAGACCGCTTTTTAGAACACTGTGTTTAAGTGATAAATTTATTCAAAAATAAATTTGTATGAAATGGAAATAAATATCGAACAAGAAATGGATCACTACAAGAAAAAAAAAAATTGTTCTAAAACTTTTTTAATCAATATAGGTTGGTTAGAAGAATTTGGCCCACGACTAATAATCATATGGGCTTTGAGAAAATATTTTTAAAATTCAACGGTCCAGATTAGACCCAATTTGGTTTGAAGAATATATAAATGCAAAATTGCACTCATTGATTCAATAATTGTGTTTTGGATCACTCTTTTGCCTTGAGTAGTCTCTCTCTCTCTCTTTCTTTTCCTCTCCTCTCTATCTTCTCTTTTGTTGTTTCTTTTATTAGTGTTCTTCTTTGTTTCTGAGAAATTATTCAGTTTAATTAGTTTTGTTAAATTCATTCACTTTTTTTTTTTTGGTGTGGGATTGTGATCAAAAAGAGTTTTTTCAATTAAAAGTTTCTGATTAGTTAATGATGAGGTCATCAACAGTCAATAATCTGGGTAAGTTCTGCTCCACACAATACCATGCTTTTTTTCGTAATAACCGCTCTCCATTTCTCTTTTCCAAAATAACAAAACTCGTTTCTTGGGAAAAAAAAAAAAGTAATAAGAAATAATACAGTATTTTATCAGTTATAGCCCAGAGATCTGAAAGTGAAAAGCCCATTTGGGGTTTGATTGGGTTCATAAACAAGAAGGGTGTTTTCGTCATTCGACTAACTGGTGTTGCCCTAAATTCGTCCGCCGTCTAGTCGGTGACCGGCACCGCACGGCGATAATAAGAAAGATTTTTTTTTTTTTTTTTCTGGTCGGAATATTTAATTGTCAACTTATTGCAAAACATTCATATCAAGTTAATTATGATGTAATCTTTAATTAGCTCGAAATAATCCAGTTTAAAGGTTCAAAAGTTACGAGGAGCATTCATGAAAACGAGATCCTACCTGTCTCCACGTGGCAACCGCTGACCTGGCAAAAGGAAAAGCGACCAATCAGAGAGTCGAATCCGAAAAAAAAAAACCGAAAGAAAACAAAGAATAATGAAAAGTCAGTATGGGACCCATTCAGACATAGAAATGACTAGTTTGCCTCTCTCACAAAAATGGAAATCATTTAAAAAATCCACATCAATTTTTGTAAAGTTCATAGGAATTATTAAAAAATACAAAAATAACACACACACACGACGCCTCACGAACAAACGGCTAAAACAACGCCACGTGGCTATATACGAAGATCTGAGCCATCCGTGGCAGATTTTTCGGGCAGCTAGATCGGTCAGCTTCACCGAACAGATCTGAACCGTAAGATCTAAATTCAACGGTTAGATTTAAACAAAGCGTTATGTCGGTCAGATTCCAATGGCCTTTAAGAAGAGATGATGCCTCCCATCTTCTTCCTCACCATCGACCATCTCCAAAAACCCCTCTTTACATCGTTTTTTTTTAAGCTCTTAAAATTATTTTTTATTCCTGTTCGCCGGAATTTTCGCCGGTGATGTAATTTTCCCGCCCTTTTTTGGAGGTAAAAAAGTTTTTTTTTTCTCAGAAGCTCGAGAAGAGTGAAAACCCCAGAAATGACCTTGCGATTCGTATGGCTCCGGCTGTTTTGGGTACCTTAAACGAACCGTCGTACCAGGAACAATGCGGCGCCGTTTTTATGAGGAAATTTACAAACCAATCCGTCACCGAAAACACCAATAACCTTCCTCTCGTCAACCCTAACCCTAACCCTAATTTCGACAGGAGCAATTCGAGCAAACAGTTTGATGATTCGTCGGAATTTGGGAGCTACGCTACTTTTAACATCGCTGGGTACACCTCAAATCAGCTCAGGGAGCTGAAGAAGCGTTTCACCTCTGAGCTCGAGCAGATTCGGATCCTGAGAGAACGGATCGAGTCAGGGACGTTCGAGACTCAGCAAGCTTATACTATCCCGGAGGTACCCGCCGTTCGATCAGCTCCGTTGAATAGTTTCGCCGGTGAAAAGAATGACCTTGGACCGAAGAAGAAGAAGCAGAAGAAAAATGTGTCAGGTCTCAAGCGAGGCAATCAATTTGCTACTTCGGATCCGGAGTCGGAGAAATTATTGGCTGGTATGTTGAATACTTGTGGTCAAATCTTGGTGAAGCTGATGAAGCATAAATGGGCGTGGGTGTTCAACACTCCTGTTGATGTGGTTGGTTTAGGGCTTCATGATTATCATCAGGTTGTGAAGAAACCTATGGATCTGGGTACGGTTAAGTTGAATCTTGATAAAGGGTTTTACGTTTCGCCGATTGATTTTGCTACTGATGTCAGATTGACATTCAACAATGCAATGACGTATAATCCAAAGGGTCAAGATGTGTATTTTATGGCTGATAAGCTTTTGGATCATTTCGATGGAATGTTCAATCCTGCTTTTAAGAAGTTTGAGGCTCAGCAGCTTAAACTCACTGGTTCTTCATCTCGTCTTGAACCTGAGGTCAAGCAAAGACATTGGAATCAGAATTCGCCAATGGTGGCAAATCCTAGGAAAGGAACCGAACAAATATCTATCGCGAAGAAGCTTGATTCAGTGAAGCCGCCACTACCTGCATTGCCTCCTCAATTAGTCGAGCCGTCGCGTGTTCAATCTCCTTCTCCACCACCTCCTCCTCCTCCTCCGGTGGTTGAGCCTCAACTTCCGCAGCTGGTTATTGAAGTAGAAGCACCTCCTGATGTGAGTGACGTGACAAAAGGAAGGAAGGGGAAGTTGCCGAAGCCTAAGGCTAAGGATCCAAATAAGAGGTTGATGACAATGGAGGAGAAGTCAAAGCTTGGTATGAATCTACAAGACTTACCTCCTGAGAAGCTTGGACAGTTGGTTCAGATTCTCAGGAAGAGAAACGGTCATTTAGCTCAAGATGGTGACGAAATTGAGCTAGATATAGAAGCTGTCGACAACGAGACTCTATGGGAGCTTGATCGTTTTGTGACGAATTACAAGAAGATGGCTAGCAAAATCAAGCGGCAAGGGTTTATCAGGAACGTGTCAACTCCACCTAGGAACATGGTAAGCATATTTGCACTGCCGCCCTATCAAAACCACCATTTGATCACTGTGGTTTCATTACTTAAAATTGTTTTCTTCCTGTCTCTCTTAGACTTCGGTAGCAGAAATGGGTAGTGCGGAGAAGAGAACAAGGAGAGGAGATGCAGGGGAAGAGGATGTAGACATTGGAGAAGACATACCAATCGAAGATTACCCATCTGTAGAGATCGAAAGAGATGGTACTGCAGTTGCAGGTAGTGGGTCTAGTTCTTCAGGCAGTTCCAGTTCTAGTGGTGGTAGTTCCTCGTCTAGTGGTATATTTGCTCATTCCCTTTTCTCCTTGCTACAAGTTTTCTCCTTTTCTTGTGTCATCTCTAACATTGTAATGGTCTGGCAGATTCAGGGTCAGGTGGGAGTTCATCAGGTAGTGATTCTGATGCAGATAGTGTTCAATCGCCATTTGTGGAAGCAAAAGAAGCTCAATGATAGAATCATTTGGTGATTTAGCCGTTGATTCTGTCCTGAAGCACTAGGAACTGAAGGAAAATGATTTGTTCTTTCTTTAGATGAAAAACTTAGGAAGCAGTTGTAGTTAGAGAGGAAAATGTACTGGGTAGATAGAGAGAGAAGAATAGTTCGTTATTTAATACCTTTTAGATTTAGGACTGTTTAGTGTATTTGTGAGATGCTGAACAGAGGGTGAGAGTGAGTGCGCAATGTAAGAAGAAGAAGAAGAAGAAGAAAAAGAAAAGAGTCTTTTTCGGTTCTATTGACTATTTTTTTTCCTTTGTGGTTAGTGTTAAAAAGTCTGGTTGTGGTAGGAAAAATGGTGATAGAAGAGAAGACAGAAATCAATGCAATGTAGTAGTTGAGAGATGTAAATGGTTGCCATATTAAAAAAAAAAAGATCTTATTTGTTAAGAAAATTTGAGTTTTCATGTTATATAAATGTTTATAAAGTTGCCAAATGTTGCGAAATATAAGAGTTAAGCAGAAGCAGAGGCAGCCAAGAGTCCATTGTGTCTGAGAAGAGGCTCTGGTGAAGGTTCTCGTCCTCTAAACTCAACAAACACCTGATCATCATTTGGAATAAATTGAGAATGAAATGCAACAAATATTGAAGCTATTGAATGAAAACAACACTATTTCGTAAGTAATACCTTAAGAGGCGCTCTTCCTCCTCCAAGTGCAAGTATGGTGTCTCTGAATCTCTGTCCTGTTTCTTTCACAGCCTGTTTGCAACAAAGTGTTTCATAATCGTGTGTCTCAACTTTTTGTGTGTATAACAGATGTTTTAGGATAAAATGATACCTTGATGTCATCTAGTCCAGCGTCTTCAAATGCTGAAAATGCATCTGCAGACAAAACTTCTGCCCACTGCAAGTTTTTCACTTCCAGTTCTTTTAGATATTTGGGTGAGAATTTACAGAGCCGGTTTAGAGTTTTGCTATAAAGAGATTCTCAAATTTACCTTGTAACTGTAATATCCAGCTGCATATCCCCCTGGAAATTCATGAACAAGTTAGTAGGTGAATGGTTTGATCAAAAAGCACCAACGATGCATACTCTCTCAAGGTTAAGAGGATTATTACCGGCAAAGATGTGACTGAAGCTACAGAGGAATCTATCCTCAGGAAGTGGAGGGATAACTTGGGTTTTCACTGATACCCTTTGATCTACGTCATAGATGGACTCTGGTCCTCCTGGTACATATTTTGTGTGCAGCTCAAGATCCACACTAGCAAATTTCAACTGAAAATTCAAAACATGAAATCATCATTAATTCCACCTCTAAATACAAAACATTAGCAGCTAGTTGTCTTATACTCACCTGACGAAGACTAAAGGACCCTGCACGGAATGTTCTTGCGGCCAGGAGTTTCTTGTATACTTCCTCTGGGAGTGTTTCTCCTGTTTCGTAATGCTTAGCAATGCTCATTAAAGTGTCCCTGAAAGCAGCAATTCAGATTTCTACAACGCTCATTTAACATTATTTTACTTTGTAAATCACAAAGAGGGTGAAATTGATTCTGCCTGTTTATGAACTCCAAAGTACCTGTGGTAGCACCAATTCTCCATAAACTGTGATGGTAATTCAACTGCGTCCCACTCGATATTTCGGATACCAGCCACTAGCCCTTCATCCTGCTTCGTAAGCATGTGCTGAAGAGCATGTCCAAATTCATGAAATACTGTCTCTACCTGTAAATCAGAGTGATGTTATAGTCAGCAAGAAAGGATTTTCGAGATTTCATGTTACGCTTATATGCTAGTGTTAAGGATGTCATTTCTTTTACCTCACGGAATGTCATAAGGCTTGGCTTGTCACCTACTGGTGGAGTTTGGTTGCAGACCATGTGTGCAACAGGAAGCCTAACAGAAGAGCCTTTCTGAGCCATGACTCGGCTACGGGAAACAACCTCATCCATCCAAGCGCCACCTCTTTTCTCTGAAGGGCGAGAGTATGGATCAAAGTAAAAGTAAGCGATTGGGTTCCCAGAAGAATCTTTGACGCGGTAGAACCGAACATCGTTGTTCCAGACCTTCAAAATCAATAATTCATGTCACTAAACAACTTTAAATGATATATCACATGATCGACATATGTAAAGGCAACGGTTAAGATTCCAGATTTACCGGAGCTAAACCATCTGCTGGTTCAATATCAATTCCAAATAGTGTCTTAGCAAGACTGAAAAGTCCATCCATAACCTTTGGCAGTGAGAAGTATGGACGTAGTTCTTCCTAGAAAGACCAAAACGAGAGCTAAGGATCAAGACTTTCAAAACAATATAATTGCATCACCAGTACACAGAAGGACAAAGAACCTCATTAATATCATATTTGGATTCACGAAGCCTCTCACTCCAGAAAGTGGTGTCCCAGTGAGTCAAACTGTCAGATTCTGCTGCACCCTGGTCCTTTGCGAAACTCTTGAGGTCTTCCATGTCTAATTTATACAACGAATCAAGAAAGTCAAAGTTCTGTCTTGGATAGGTCAATGCCTCATGTTATTTCTTGAATATATCTTCTTTTTATGTTACCTTGAACAGCCGCATCCCAAGATGCACTACAAAGCTTCTCTAAAAGCTCTGCTGCTTTCTCAACAGTAGCCATTTTCATAGCCATGCTTACCTAGAACAGTAGAAAGTCAAGTTAAGCCAAAAAGAAAGAAAAAAGAACATTTTTTACTTAGGTTGAAGACTCCACCTCAGCGTAATTGTTGTAACCAAGAAGCTTAGCTTTTTCCAAGCGAAGCTTCAAGATCTGGTCGATAATTGCTGTATTATCCAAATCGCCAGAAGAGGCACGAGATAGGTAAGCACGGTAAACTTCCTCACGCAGAGCACGGTTCTTAGCATGTTGCATGACAGGAAGATAACTAGGAGCATCTAGTGTAATGATCCATGGTCCATTCTCAGCAGTTGCATTTTCATGGCCCTAGTGTCACATATCAAGAAGCAAAAAATTGGCAAACCCCAAAAAAAAAAAAACATGTAACTTTGTAAATCTTTCAGTTAATATTGATACCTTGGAGACAGCTGCTTGTGCGAATAGCCCGAGAGCAGATGGAGGCAATCCCTCGATCTCTTTCTTGTCTGTAATCAACTTTTCAAATTTCTTTGTAGCATCCAAAACATTCTCAGAAAACTTATGGGAAAGTTTTTCGAGTTCCTAGAATCAAGAACAAAACAGTGTGACAAACATAGAACCAAATTTTTACCAAGTAAACTGATTTAATTGTTCATAACTTACAACAAACCTGTTCAATTTTGTTAAACTCTTCTCTCTTTTCATCATCAAGAGCAATACCTATGAGAACCGCCTCCTTTATTTGAGCTGAAAACATACTGAAACCACAGTTAGAGCTCACTAAAATCTGCAAAGAGAATGAAAGATTTGTTCTTTTAATAGGAAGTACTTGCCTTCTACTAAGCGTTGACGAGCTTCACTGAGAGATGACCAATCAGGAGATTCACGAATAGCTTTAAAGGCATTGTAAATAGGCTTGCTTTGTCCCAATCTGAGCTGGAACTTCACCTTCTCTGGCTGCAGAACAACAGTGTAGTTAGCAAAACAATGCTATACCGAGACACCAACACAAATAAGCATGAGAACACATCTAATGATTAATATTTAACCTGAACGTCTTCAATGGCAGCACGAAGCTCAGGTGTGTCCTTAACAGCTTTAAGGTGATTGATCATTCCCCAAACAACAGTTAACCGATCAACGATTTTCTCTAATGGTTCAACCAGATTTGGCCACGATGGCTCCACAGATTTCTCTAGCTCCTCCAATTCAGCTTCCTGAAATTCAAAAACCAATAAGAATCGAATCAAAAAATACATGAATCTCTGATGAGAAACGAAGAAGGAGGTGTGAACATACGAGATGCTGCAATAGAGCACGAATCCCAGGACGAACATGACTGGCATCAACGGAATCAAACGGAGGGAAATCGAAGTCCTGCAAGAGAGGATTCGAGGAAAGAGTCTCCTCGGAGATAACAGAGTCTACGGCGGCAGCGGCGGCGGAAGACATAGACGGAGGAGAGGAGAAGGGACGGAAGGAGGAGGAGAGAGAGGTGGAGGTAGTGGATCTAGGAGGAGGGAGACAGAAAGAGAAAGAAGAAGACCAGATGGGGCAAGGATATGATTTACGAAAAGTTGAGGGACGAAATTGACAAGAAGAAGATGAGAAATATTTGGGTTTTGGTGAACGACGAAGAAGATTGAGAGACGCTCGAGACGTTGGAGTCGCCATTAACATGTTTGCTATTACAAGCGTCGCGATTATTCTTATTCTCTTCATTTTTATTTTTTATTTTATTTTCTTTGAGATTTTTTTTTCGTGTGACTTACTTACATGCGATTATGTGAGGTTCCAAAGTCGTCGTCGATATGTTTTTAATTGACGCGACAAAGGGTAATGTTGGCAAGTCAAAATGAAATTGACGCGACAAAGGGTAATGTTGGCAAGTCAAAATGAAATTGAAACATGTTTTTGGAATATATACTTGTGCGTGTGGCTGTTAACCACAAGGTCGGAGGTTCGACCCCTCCTTCTAGCGAATTTTACCCTCTTTTTTTTTCCTTTTGCCTTTTCTGAAAACTGATATGAAGTAACAACAAAAAGTAATGGCCTCACATATCCCCCATCAACAAAAAAAAAGAAAAGTAATGGCCTCACAAGTTCACGAGTCTTGTTCGACGATAGCATCTCAAGAACAAACAAGACACGTTTAAGATAGTTATAGTGTGTGTGTAGTGTGTGTTGTTCCCCAAATACGACGACAACGGATCTGGCAAGTCATCACCCTTGTTCACTAAACCAAAAATGTTGTATAACTTTACGTTCATTTTAAAAACAAAAAACAATGAACTTTAAATCATTTGATGAAACCAAACAATATAATCACGTTATTGTAAGGATTGCCAATGTATTTACCAACCGGAATTAAAATTAATAACTTCACATTGACATTGTATCACCATTTCAAATGTCACTACTCACTACAACAAAATATGTTGACTAGTGAAAACTTCCAAATTTCAATAAATGAATGCTTCCCATAAACGAGAAATTATGAGTTACCAAAGAAAAAGGAAAAAAAGAGAAATTATGATTGGACCGCTAAAACATAACCATCCAAAATCTAACATTATTTTCCAACTTTTCTTGGTAATTCATTTATTGTTAGCTCTAACTCTTTCGTCGATTATGAACCCCAAATTTCCCATTCAATCAATAAAATAAACCCTCTTTTTTTTGCAAGAAATGGAGAGAGATCTTGCCGACAACCGTAGGCAATCATACTCCACTGGTCGATGCTTGAGTTCGCCGTTATCTTGTTTCATCCATACAGAAACAGAGTACGCTCGAATCAGTAACCACGGCAAGAAGACAAGACCAAGTCCGAAGTTAAGGGATTTGATGAGAAGATTATTATTGGTTAGAAGTTGCGGATTGGAGAATAATAAATCGAAAACGTTAGTTACGTTTCACTACGATGCTGTGAGTTATTCGCAGAACTTCGACGATGGTTTCTATTTGCGCGATGATGATCCTAAGGTTTTCAGTGATCTTCCAAAACAGAGTCCGGGTCACTGATACTTGCTCTGTTTTTTTTCAATTTTATTTTCGTATGCACCCGCAAATTCTGTGTTTTGCAAATGTTCCCTATCGTGTACTTTTGTTTATTTAAGTATATACCCCAATAGTTTTGGTTTATTACATGTGTACCCTATATTTTCTTTTCTACATGTCTTACTCTATTTCGTTTTGTTTTAGCATTTGTTTAGACCTCCTTAGCTTGAAAAAATTTCAATCATGTTTCACTTAAACATCTCTGGTTCAAATTGGTGTGATTGAATCTAACAATGCTGCTTATACTTATGGTTAGTGTTGGTTGGTCTACGTTATGCTCTCGTAACGTTGCTATATGGGATGGGATCCTAAAACAGGGAGGTCTACATACGTGTAATGTTACAACTCTTCCAAGTTTTAAGATTACTTATTCCAGCATATATGGAGTCATAGAACTGGTAAGGCTTCAAATTTCAACACCAGTTTCTCTTTCAAAATCGATGCTCGTAACCTTTCAGCAGATGGTCATGGAATCTGTTTCTTTCTTGTTCCTATGGGAGCTCAACTCCCTGCATACTCAGTTGGTGGTTTCTTGAATTTGTTCACTCGAAAGAATATTCGTCTTCGGTCTCGAATCCCAGCAGCTTCTTTGGCAACATTAGCTTCAATAATCAATCTCATGTTTAAGTATATCTCTAACCTTATAATGAGTCTCTTCTTTAGCCTTATTGCTCAGATTCTCATCAGGGACAGACAAGAGCTTCAAGCAATCTATTGTTCTCACTTCTCATCAACAAGTGAATTCTTCTCCACTCTTTATACAACTCACTGAACACAGACTCAAAGCAGAAAGAGATTCCCTTGCTTCAATCCTAATTCTTGAGCAATTCAGCTTCTTTCCTCGCTTCTTCCATTGCCGAGACTCTAACCGTGTAGCCTCGAGCTCTGTTTCTGCAATCACAAGCTGCTCTTTCGTTTGACTACAAAAATCCGTAGCCACCTCTTTCAAAGCTAATGCCAAAAAATCACACACTGCTTTCTCAGAGGAAGAAGCTTGTTTGTTGCAGCCTCATGAGCATGTGCGAGAGTCTACTTGGGTTGATTCCATCTCAATCTTCGTAGAATCAATATCCAAACCCTTAATACATGTTGCTGTGTGCGTTAATGTTATATTTGTGTTTGTGTATTGATCAACACAGGAAGTTAGTAGTAGAAGGTATAAGCAAGATCGTAACAGGAGAATTCATATCTCTATCAGAACAAGAACTAGACCGACTGCGACAAATCCTACAATCAAGGTTGCAACGGAGGTTTAATAAACTACGCTTTTCAATTCATCATGAAAGATTATCCTTAACAAAATGTTTTGTTAACACACAAACAGAGCCACTCTGTTTTCAATTTTGTATCTCTTTGTGTGTTTGCAGAAGAATTGTAGAGTTGTGAGTATTGATTGATGGGTATATAATAAAATGATATATTGCTTATGATTCTTTTGGTTAGCGTTTTTGCTCAAATTCTCAGCAGCAACAAGAGCTTCAAGCAGAACCTATTGTTCTTCTTTCCTCGAGTTTCTCCTTCCGTTGTAGCCTCAAGCTCTGTTTCTGCAACCACAAGCGCTCTCTTTCATTTGGTTACAATCCGTAGCTACCTCTTCCAATTGCTTCTTTAGCAAATCATGAGCCTCTGCCTTAGTTGATTCCATCTCAGTATTGAAATCCTGAACACAAGTATCTTTTTCTTCTTCGCTCTAGAATCTTGGCTATGACGTATCTATTTTTGCTCTAAACTTTCTCGAACCCAAGTGAAATAGGAAACAATTTAGAAGATTTTTTTTAAAAAAAGGAAACACAACATGAAAAAAGTATATACGACCGTTGTATATTAGAAGATACGATTAGATACTTTGCTTTCTTGACCGTTACGTTGTGTTAAAAAAAAAAAAAGGAAACAACAGAAAAGAGTGAAAAAAGGAAACTTTGATCCCAAACACATAAGTAAGATGAGTCTATAAATAGAGAGTCTCGAGCCTTATCTTCTCTCTATGTGTAATCGTTGTTTTAGTTTCATCAAACAAACCAGAGAAACCAGAAACATACAGAGCGAGAGAGACTTATAGAGTAAAAAAGATGCAATTTCTCTGATTTTCGATTCTCTTCTTCAATTTACACCTCTATTCTCTTCGATTTCATCGAATTTCATGAGTTTTTCATCTCTGGCTCCAACTTGTTCGACGCTTGATTTGTTGGTTTGCCGTTGCTCTTCGCCAAATCTTCACCAACCAGACCAAACAAAAGAGGAGCGTCATGGAAGTTGATGTTGATTCTTCTTCGACCAAGATGAATCCTGAGACCGGCGGCGGAGATGGCGAGAGAGAGACGACTGAGAGGAGATCAAAGGATTCTCGTTTCCATTGACGGCGATGGTGGAGGAAGAAAACAATCATCAAAGACAAAGAAGCTTCTCAGATTTTCCAAGTTCTAATGGGCTTTTTGTATGGGCCTTCTTTGCTACCAAATCCAACAAGGTATTACTTTTTTCATTCTTATTTTTTTTTTCTTTAAAAATTAGTTTAAGTAAAACTAAAACTAATTAGTTTAAAACCTTCATTAAAAATTTTAACTAAATATAAAAATTTATTTTAAAAAAATAATAATGATTTTCAAAAAAATTTAAAACAAATTTAACACTTAAACTTTAGGAAATTAATCTTTTAAACTAAAACCATGTTAATTTCACTATTACTTTTTTAAAAATTAGTCTTAAGTGTTAAATTTTAAAAACATCGAAAACTAATCGCGCCTAGGCATCATGTCCTTAGTTGGTCCGTAAGCTTTGGTGTTCGAAGTTCGGCAATGTTTTCACGTAATATAGATTTAACACTTAAACTCATTTAAAAAAATATAAATGATTTTCACTAGATTCAAAAAGAAAATATAACACTTAAACTTTAAGAATAAAACCATGAAATTTTATTAATTTTTTTAAAAAATTATTTTAAGTGTTATATTTTAAAAACGTCAAAAACTAACCGCGCCTAGGCATCCTGTCCTTAGTTGGTCCGTAAGCTTTGGTGTTTTAAGTTCGGCAATGTTTTCACGTAATATAGATTTACCACTTAAACTCATTTTTAAAAAATATTTATAATTTTCACTAAAATTTTAAAAAATAATTTAACACTGAAACATTAAGAATAAAACCATGAAATTTCATTAAATTTTTTAAAAAATTAGTTTAAGTGTTAAATTTTAAAAACGTCAAAAACTAACCGCGTCTACGCATCCTGTCCTTAGTTAGTCCGTAAGCTTTGGTGTTCGAAGTTCGGCAATGTTTTCACGTAATATAGATTTAACGTTTAAACTCATTTTAAAAAAAATAATAATGATTTGCAATTCGATACGAAAACTAACAGGATTGTGGATCCCACATTTGTCGTTTGAGATTCCATATATTCAAGGGAAATTGTTAAAAATACCCCTTTTGGTGTGCCCCTTTTCAAAAATGCCCCTTTTAGATGTCCATTTTAAAAAATGCCCCTTTTTCAAATCTGAAATTTTTATAAAGTTTTATTAGGTTTATAAGGTACTTATGGATTGTAACTACTACTTGAAGACTCGATCCAAGTATTTATAAGGTTTTATAAGGTGTTTTTAAAGGTTTTACAAGTTATTTTAAAGGATTTTTAAAGTTTTTCAAAGGTTTTACAAGATATTTTAAAGGTTTTTAAAGGTATTTAAAATGCATTTATAAGGTATTTATAAAGTATTTATAAGATTTTAGATACATAGAAATGTAGTTTGTGTATGTTTTAATAATATTACATACATATTTGGGTAAATCTTATATTTTTAAGAGCATTTTTTATAAGGTTTTAAAAAAAGGGTATTTTTGAAAAGTGACATTGAAAAAGTGGCATTTTTGCAAAAGCCCCTATATTCAACTAGTTTTTGCATCGTTATCCTATACTATTATTTGGGGAGTACACTTTATAAGATACCTTTAACTAACCTTTTCTTTTGTAAAAAATTACTTAAGAATGTCATTAGTAATAAAATTTTATAGAGTAAATTAATTCAACTCATTAAGGATAAAAAAGTTAAATATTATTTTATACAATTTAATTAATTTAATTTAATTATAAAAACGAAAATCTATTATTAATTTCTTTAAAAAGAATGACCAATCAAAATGAACATATAAGATTTGATATCTGATTTACCATATTAATTTGTTATTAATCATTATACTCCACATCTCATCTTTATATGATTCTATTTCTATAAATTAATAAATCAGTATATCATCTATATAATAAAAAAAAGTAAATTTTTTTCCACATATACCAAGATTTGAATTTTTAAAAACGAATATAAATTATTCAATGTATGAAAGAACAAATTTAACGGGTCAAAAATTCATATTTGAGTAATATATTCTTTTTTTTTTAATATCATCAATACTTAATAGATCAAAATTTTATGAAGTATAAATACTCTAATTTGATTTTTTGAAACAAATATTTATAATAGGCGACGGGTTGAATATAATATATTATATGCTGAAATGAGTTATGATCCTTATAACTATTTGAATATTTATATTTAATTTCATATCATTTTTTTTAAAAATTCATAATTTTACATACTACAATAAAATTTTTTAAAGATTTTAATCCTATACTATTATTTGGGGAGTACACTTTATAAGATACCCTTAACTAACTTTTTCTTTTGTAAATAATTACTTAAGAATGCCATTAGTAATAAAATTTTATAAAGTAAATTAATTAATTCAACTCATTAAGGATAAAAAAGTTAAATACTATTAATCAAATGCATCAAATCAACATCTTTTGAAAAGCTTAATGAGTTATGTTTTGAAAAGCTTAATGAGTTATGTATCAGATACTAACCTTTATATTCATGTTTCAACAGAGGTAATTGCATGCCGTCTGATAATTCTTGGTTAGATTGTCTTCATTAGATTGATTTACTCTTACTCCATATACATGTATGTACCAAAAATCTGCAGATAATTTTATATTCAGATTAGAGATGTACTTTATAAAGCTTGATCCTAATTTGATATTAGTTTCGGAATCTGATAAAAGTTTAAGATTGCAAATCATATAGTTTATAATCTATATCTGAAACAATGCAAATATACAGTAATAAGATTAGATCAAACAAAGATTTGGCAGAGCCATTCATTATTTCATTC